TTATTGTTATTTGAAATAATGTCTTCATCTGTAGTCTGAGCGATCAGGATACATCATTCGTCGATAAAAAGCGCAAAAGCTCGTCTTTCACTACTCGCATTCCCGAGGAATCCTTTCCCTTTTCGATGGAGACACTTACGGGGCCCCGAGCATGTACCATACCATTTTTATTCGTGTTTCACTCGCGAGGAGAATCTCGAGAGAGAGGAGAGAAGTATATCTTACGTATCCCCATGCATCTTCTCGATACTTTTAGAACAAGTCAACGAGAAACGCGCTCCTCCTTGTCTGCCTTTCGTGTTTCACGAAATGTCCTCGAGTAGAATCGAATCTCTGTGCCGGGACACAGTTCGCTCGATGCGTCATACGTTCGCCGTTAGTGAAAGAACCCCCCCATCGCAGGCGCATTTTCACGTTGTAAACGAAGGTATTTCTAAGAAAGCGCAGTCATCGCTGATCATTTATACACAGGTTATTTCAGAAAGTGATGTAGCTGCTCTCTTGATTCCGTAGATTCCCCGCGAAACTCGCAATTAGTCTTATGTCTTGATTGTAAAACTTGAAATAGACAGTATGCCTCTTTTTTTATAAGATTCTTAAGATTAAAAAAAAATACATTAAAATAATTTTGTTTCATTTGCCTTTATTTGCGGTATCATTATTTTCACAATTCAGAACTTACAACGCAGAGTCAAAATGCGAACACATTAACTACATGTGTTGTCGATGGAACTTTGAATTGCTGTTTCCCTGTTCGAACACAATGCTCCTAATTTATTGTTTAAGTTTTAGTATCAAGCGTTTCCCTAACTGATCCTGAGTCTCTAACTGATTATCTATGATTTCATTAAAATCATGTATATATACAGTTTAAATTATTTAAACTTCGATTCTGCTTCCGAAATTTAATTTATCAAAATATATTGTATATTCTCTAATACTTTATGTAAAAAATATTAATTAATTTTGATTATGTTTTTTTTTGAAAATATTTTCTTAATACAAAGAATTCTTTCTTTAAAATAAAATCGTAGTACTTAAGTCATACTAACAATATATCGCTTTCAAAACATTCTGTGTACTCATATTATTAAATTTCAAGAGTTTAAGATAATTTCGAAAAGTCGTTATTAAATATATCATTTTTCTATTACATATCTCTATTTTGAAAATCCCGTTTCTATTAGTTTTACATAAAAAAGTTAAAAAGAAATGTGTTTGAATCATTCTCCATTTTGAGATTTGAGAAAATACATATATATGATTGTCATGAACCACTACGTAAAGCCCGCCTCGACCGCAAAGGGTTGCTGTATAGATAGGTGGTCGCATTCGCAAAACGGAAACTGCTTGATCCCAGCAAAACTCACGCCTTTTTTTGCCGTATCGCAGAAACTTGCCCGATCAAGGAAATCTTTATTGATTGTAAATGCGAAACTACGATGAAAATGTATCTTATGGATTATCCATAGAATGCGAATTCGAATTCTCATCACAAAGCTTTTGCTTTGCTTCTATTTATATTTTTTATATATTGAAAAGATACGGTGTTGATTAAATAAACAGCGTGTTAAAAAAAAAAGATTGGAATATTGTCTATTAGCTGTAATTAACAAAGTACATTTGAAACGATTAAATAATATTATTCACTAATATTTGAACAATTTCAAACATTTAAAACTTAATTAAGAAGGCGAATATAATATATAAAAAACTTTTCTTTTCAGCTATTTTTAATAATTAATCGATGAAATTTTTAAGAAATTATATAATTTTTGTTCAGTAATTAAAAAATTCAAATTACTTCTACAATGTGACGAATTTCTCTCATGAGTTTATATTACATTTCTAAAATTTTGTGGATAATTTTGGAATCTCTGTATCAGAGGAGATATTCAAATATCACGTTTCTGATAATGTGAATAAAGATATATACACACGTATGTATATTAATGAAAAAAATTGATTGACTAGCTATTTAATACACGCCTGATCACATTGATCGAGATTGAAAAGCTTCATGGTAGAAATGCAATGTGACAATAGTACAAAAGCCCGCGCTAAAGCACATAGTGATTACAGAAGGTCGCACGCGGGACAATGGGCCATCCCAAAGTCGATGCATCGTCAAATCCAATCGGAATAGAATGATCACGTGTATTCGCGTATAGTTGGCTGCTCTCGAGCTATGTCCGCGAGTAATTCGATATTCGGCAAAGCGTCACCGATTGACCCGTAAGCCTCGCTCGCATTGCGCCTTGTCGATCGATTGTAATCGATCGGTCAACGATCGTGGATGTTTTGCGCTTCGCGGAACAAAAGCAAATTTCGATTACGATTTTGACCGATTTGTGCGCGCAAATACTAAATGCACGATCCTCCGCGCAAACATTCCGGTTTATAATAATCGGATCGGTACGCGTCGATTTGGAAATGCGGAACATTGCGCGAGGTATTATCATTGATCACAAAAAGTGAAAAAAAAGCTGGAATGACTCTATATCGTATGGGTATTGGCATGAATATTTATTAGGTACCGCGATATCGTGCAACAATCCTAATTTTTCAATATTTATCAATGCTGCTATTATTATTGCATGAAAAACATTTTATATAGACGTCACTATGTATAAATTATATAATACCAAATAACATTACTATTTATGAAGAGGATATCAGGTTTAATTAAATAATGAATTTATTGCCATATATTGAGAAATGTATTAAAAAATATAATTTTAAATATTTCATTATCTTCCAATTCTTTTTTTTTTTTTAAGTGAAGAATAGCGTAATTTTTTAATAATATATATATATATATATAAAATAATTAAATATATCAAAATACACAATTTTTTGTGTGTGAGATATTCATTTTAAATAAATACAATAAGTAATAAATAATATATAATTTTAATATTTATTTGCAAAATAACTTTATTATCAATTTTATATATCTGTTATTTTTTCATATAAAATATGTAAATATGTATTTTCATATAATATATGTATAGAAGACTTAACTTAACAATGTTAAATAACACAGAAATTTATACATTTATCTATAAAACAAATCTTTTATCTCAAACGAGACATAGATAAAATGAGATTTCCTTGTAATATCAAGAAATTATAAAAAAAGCAATAAATTTTTATTATATTCAGAAACAATTGCCGAATCGCTCAAAATAATTCATAACTATAACACGAAGCTAGAATTGGAAAAAAGATATTAATCTTGTCAGAGAAAATACAAGAAATTGGCATGATGAAAGATAAATATCGAATATAAAACTAAATCCATCCAACATAAATCACTTGTATTCATTTGTTATCCGAAGCTATTTGACATATACATCAGTGATGTCCAATTATATCGTACATTATATTTATTATTTATGTTGAAAAAATATTACTATTCCGTATGGTAACTAGGTTTTTAACAAAATTTTGTAATATTAAACTATCAAATGTATCTGAAATAGCCGAATTTGACTGTTCCAAATATTCCCATACAAATGGATCTCATATAATCCATATCCAAATGTCAATAATTGTGTGCATTATTACTAGTGTCGAAAAAAAGAATGTGAAATGCGCTCAAAATTGTTTCGCAAAATTATTATTTGCGAAACACAACATTATTACAACGTTGCAACTTGCTACGCGTCTTAAATATACGACGTAAAATTTCTGTGTACACCTGGCTATGCAGAATATAATTACATTGCTTTTCGGTTAAATAGGAGCGACATAAGGACGCCTTAATTAAAAGACTCTTTACGTTAGAAATCTAATAAAGTACTGCCAAGAAAATGTGCTGAGAAATTTGTCGGAGTCAACATAGCCTTTCTTGATCTTACATAAAAATGTATGTTTTATTTACTTATGTATCTGATGAATTGTGAGATATATATATATATATATATATATATATATATATATATACTACTACTACCACTCTGGACAGAGATCGGACTTTGAATTCGGTAGGTCCGAAAACGCAATGCTCGCGCGCGGGAAAATGCAAAAAGAAGAAGAGCAGCGTTAATTACGGCGCGCTTAAGTGTCGCCATTTAGCCCGGGATTAATCTGTCACGCGGCGAGCGTGAAAAACTATTCGTTTAAGAGGCCGACTCTCATGGAGAATCGTTTGATTGGCAGTTCTCGAGACAGACAGAGGGACCAGAAAGAGAAAATGAGAGGGACGGAGAAGGAGGCCGGAGTTCCTTTCGGTGAGCACTCCTTTCTCACGTCCCTCTCGCGCGCTTGCACTTATAAAACCTTTGCTCGCGTGTATATTCGACTCGGAAGTGGCGTGAAAGAGAGGGAGCGAGAGACGAGAGGACAGGAAAGCGGAGAAAGACTTTATTTTCGGTAGTCCGATGACGTTCGCCAGCTCGCGCGAGCGAAGAGAAGCGGTGTCCCAGCGCGGAGAAAGAGAAGATGAAGACGACGACGATGTAAAAGAAGAAGAGGGAGAAGAATCCAAGAAGAAGAGAAGAAAGAGTAGTTGAAGAAGAAGAAGAAAAGAAGAAGAAGAGGGCATCTCTGAACACAATTTAAAAGATGACGAACAGCAGTACACACAAGAGGGGAGTACGACCGAACGCAAGAGATAAAGAGTGCCGTCTCTCCCCCCCCCTTTTCTCTCTCACTCACTCACTTACTCAAGACGGCGAACAAACGGAAGAGAAGGAGAGAGAAAGAGGGAAAGTACAACGCAAGAGGCAGAGAGACGAGGAATTCACGGGAGAGATAGAAAGATGGAGAGAGAGAGAGAAAAGAGCGAGAGACGGCAGGGAGGATCACGCGTGCGGTTCCTTCGGTTGTTAGGTCGTTGTTATACAGGTTCTTAAAGGTCCCGTCGTCGCTCCGTCCCCGTCGCTCCGTCTCACTCTCGCGCGGCCGCGGTGCGCGCGCAAGCCTCAACCGGCATCCGCCAGGCGCCGCTGGCGCTGTGGCCGGCCTCGGCCTGCGCGAGCGGGCCGCTCAGTCTAATTTGAACCGTCGCGCGCGCCCGACGCGGGGCCACCGACGATCTCTCTCCCTTCCTCCGGGCTCTCGCGACACGCGTGACACGCGAGGCGCCTCGTGTGTGTATGCCGCGTGCGACACACGCGACCCGATCACCCGTCGTCGACAATCCTGCACGCAGATCGCGCGCGACCATCTCCGCGCGAGAGGAAGCGGTTTCTCGCGCGCGCGCGCGAGAGAGAGAGAGAGAGAGAGATAAAAAGAAGAAGACGAGAGTAAGGATAAGAGGGGAGAGAGAGAGAAAAAAAAAGTTGCAGAAACAGAGCGTGCAGGAAAGAGTGTGATAACGCGCGAGTGGCAACGGCTCCTAATTACTCATTCGTCCCGTTTCCTCGTGCACGTCCTCCGATACCTTCTCTATCTTCCTCCGTCTTCATTGTCGCGCGAATCGGCGAGGGTGGCCCACTCCGAAAAGCGGAGCTGTACGCGCGCGAGAGTGGTGAGCATCAGCTGAAGAGTGTAGTGCGCGAGCAAGCGTGCGGGCGATCGCACTGTCGGGAGAACAGCGGTCCTCGCGTGGGTATATTTAGTGTCTCGACTGGTCAGAGAGGAAGCCGACACTTTCTTCGTTGTCGTCATCGTCGTCGTCGTCGTCGTCATCGTCGTCGTCTTCGTTATCATCGTCGTCTTCGTTATCATCGTCGCCATCATCGTTGCCGTCTTCGTATTTTCGTTAGAGTAATTTTTGTTTTGACGTTTGATACAACCGTGTGTCTCTTTCTCCTTCTCTCTCCTCTCTCTCTCTCTCTCTCTCTCTCTCCCCCTCCCTCTTCCCGCTTCAGAGTGCAACGTGATACTGAATCTCAGACAGTGGATAAGAGGGTGGCGAGACGATCGCGGAATTCCGCTCGACTCGATGTTGCTGACGGATCAGAGGCAGTCGGCGTTTCTGACGGTCGCGGGTATTCCCTGCTGTGAGGTCAATCAGTTTCGTCTGCTTGTGAACGCGAGCGAACACGTGGACTAGAGAGGACTACTACTCATCACTCGGTTGGTTCATCGACAATCAAGATTCAGGGTCCGTCTCGTTCGGAATCGTGGAAGGATCCGGGACCTGCGGTAAATTGATCGACGAGGCTCCCGGTTCAAGTTGGATCAGGATGATCGTGCCGTTTGCGAATCATAATGATCACGATCTATAAAAGATCGATGCTGGTTGTCGCGTCCGCGATCGTCGCAGCAGCCGGTCGGAATCATCTGCGATAATACCACACCTTCCCGAAGAGAAGAAGAAAGACGCGCCAAAAAAAAAGGAGAGAGAAGCGGCCGCATGGTGCGGTTCGCCACGGCTGCCCCCGCCGGCTTCGAGGATGAGGAGAACATTATCGCGTAGGATGAAGAGAAATATAGAAGAAACCCCGACGTTCCACTATCGGTGGTATAATACTTCGTGAGGAGTCTGAATTTAGAAGAAGGAGCCAACAACGATCGATTTGGCCATTTGGTGAGCGGGACGAGATTGTGAGTCAAGTCACCGCAGGTGACTAATCGCGAGGGAGGAAACAAGAAGAGGATCAAGAGGCAGGACTTGGTTAACATAGGAATCGCAAGAGTACTTGCGGCAACGAAAGGTGCACGCTCCCCGAGCTCGAGGGCCGAGGAGGAGGGGGCGATAAGCGCGTGCCTCTGTGCGAGTCGGGGTGACCGAGGTGTCGACCTCACCCCCGATCACACCGCTAATCAGGTTGGATAATGTGGGCGCCTCTGCTTTTGGCCGGGTTCTTAAGCGGCTGGTGGGGCGCACTGGCGCTCGCTGCGGCACCCCCCGCCATTCGGGACACCCTTGGGAATACGTCCGGGGCAACGACGAGCATCACCGAGGCGAGACATTATCGTCCACCATCGATAAGCCCAGTGGATGACTTCAAAGTTGGCGAATTTACGGGGGAATCGCGAGAGGAAGTTCTGGAATACCCGGCACACACATCGTTCGAAATTCGTTCTGTTCATCGCGATCTTGACGAGATCTCGTTGGTCGAATCGAATCTCGTGAACCTCGGGGAGGACTCCTATAAAGATGGAGAACAATCATCAGAGAATGATGCGCGACAAATCTTGCATTACTTCACGGCTCGTGGAGCGACATCGCCTGAGGTGGCTCTCGGTACTCGGCGAATCGTACCGAATCCCAGGCGAATGGAGGATTTCGCGAAGGACACCCTCTCCGCCGTCGAAACGGAGACGCGCGTTCGCGCCTTTCACCCAGAAGTAAATGAGTCCGATCTGACTCGCGCGCCCCGACACTCCTCGACGCACGCACCCCTTGCGTATCCATCAGCAGAGTCGTCGATGCAGCGGCCGCGAGTCACCAGATCGGCGAAGCAACGACCAAAGAACCGCACCAAGGCGGACTCGCCGCGCGAGCAACGACGCCGTTGCAGGAACAAGGACAGAGGCTGCCGCGGTCAGAATTGGTGTCCCGACATCGACGTGGGCAATCGGGCCTTCTTGGCGCCCACCGTGTTCGAGGGTAAAGCCCGCAGCATGTCCTCGCGAAGGAAGCCCGGATTGAACTACTCGGTGACCTTCGAGGTGAAGCAAGTATACAAGAGCCAGCCGGGCTTTCAGCCGCTGCAGAAGAACGACAGCGTGCGACTACATTTCCGCGACAAATTGGTGCCTGGCAAGTCGACCGTGTGCAACGGCCACGAGGCCGGCAATATGCAGCAGCAGCAACAGCGCGATAATCCGAGTGGTGTGGTGCGAGCCAATATTAAAAGGGGCAAAGTGTATCTAGTGTTTGTGAATCGCGTGGGACCCAGGAACTTCACGATCCTCGGCGAGCCGGTGATCCGAAACAAGAAAAACGAACAGGTCGTCCAAGCTGTCGTTCGACCGGATTACGGTAAGTCCCAAAATTTATGCACCGTTTATTTCGCCATTTTTGATTAGTCAGTCGGACGCGTGCCGCTAACAAATGATAATGAAAGGCTCGATAGAGTAGAGGAAAATGTATCACGATATCAAAAAGCGTATCTTTGTTTCAAATAACAGTGTAAAATAGATAATTTTTTAAAAATATTTATGGAGTGTCTGTGAATTGTAGTTTGTATTTTTCAAATGATTCCGAGAGAACATTGTAAAAATTAAAGAAATAAATTTCTTTGAATTTTTTATTCCAGCACTTGTTGCACCTTTTACTTCAGGTTTTCAGTTTAATCTGTTTATCGTGACTTGTCTTAAAACAGATATTTTGTCCTCTGCTTATTTTTAAAAGATATAATTCTTATAAGAGAAAAAATTGCTATTATACATAAAATATATGTTGTTTCTTTCTTGGATAATTAATTTTTTAACGAAAATTTTCTAAAGTAACGTTGAGCAAAGATGACAAGAGCATCATTAGATGCAGCGTTAATCAATACACTAATTAAAAAGCTACTGCGAGAGAAAATATTTATTTTTATTAGACACAATTTAAAATGTTTGAATACTACTAGTTTGCATTTAATAAATAGTATTTCTGACTCAAAAACAGGTTAATGGATGAAATTACTTTCTAAAGAAGATATTCTTGTAATGACAGTTATTACATTTCTTATGCAATTTCTAGGTAGACGTGTGTTCTAAGAAAGCAATAAGAACAATGATGAAAAATTACTACTATAAATGTACTGTGCACATTTCACATTGGTGAACATAAATTGACGATGTCATGTTACGATGTATGCATCTGAGTTATATAAAACTTTTTATCACAGGACTCTATATAATGCAATATTTCTTCAAAAATTTGAAACGTTCTTCTTTAACGTAAGAATATAAAGACATACATTTCAGTTAAAATCATAAAAATAAAATCATAAAAATAAAATGCTTGAATGTAGCAGATAATACAAAGTTCCTCAAACTCGGTTAATATAAAACTATATTTTATTAGAATCATAATAAAGATTTAGCTATTTACGCATCCGGTTTCGAACATACTAGCGCAGATAGTATTAATCCATGAGACTTTTGATAGCAAATATCGATCTGTAAAATAAATACGCCAATAAATCCACTGCGTATTTAAGCATGCGAAAGAATGCAATATCCCTAAGGGTATGCGGGTTGGAATAAACAGGAGCGCACCACGTGATATCTCACTTGTTCCCAGTAATTGTTCGTCGCAGAGCAACCGCTTCGATCGATTTGTGATGACTCGAGGGCACGATCGAGCTCGATATACTCTGCCGAACGACTGATAGTTTTTTAGTTGAAACGCGTCGTCGATGTAGAATTCTCGATCAGTTTCGGGAATATAGCGCGGCAATATTGTTAATATGGAGAGGGATGCTCCAACGGGCGCGTGTACATATTTCCCTTTTGCAGACAGCTCGGCAATATGGCGACTAACTTATGTAAACGCACGTGAATATTTTAATTCGCGCGTGATATAGCCCGGATGTACATTCTACGTTTAAATTCGGTACTAACTTTTATAAATTTACAGAATATGTTTTAGCTGTTAATTAAAGCATGAACTCCTATAAAAAAAAAAAAAACTATATGAAAATTTAGCAAAATTTACTATCGACTCGAATGTGATTTTTATTATAGTTGATATAAATTCGTAATTATATCTTCGTAATATCGTTTTAGTGCGTTCTAATTTTCTTTCGTCCACAATATCCATGTTTTCAATCAATTCTCATATTTAACATTGGAATCACTTGAAAAATTCACCACAAACGAGATTGAGATATTCAAGTCATAGAATTTATAATTTCGCGGTATTTCCAAATATCTTCAATCGAGAGAGTTTAATGAAGCGATATTTGCATGATATAGTACCTAATAATACGATGATGTTACTTTACAAAATTCATGTTTAATCTTGGAAAAATCTTGGAAATCGTAAACACATTCCAAAGAGGGAACCTTTGCAAGAGAAGCGAGAAAAGAGTTGTTTTAATCGCGACAGCAGATCTACTCGCATCAATAATCTTCTTGAGTTTTCGCGAATTTCAAGGACGAAAGAAGGTGTAATCGCCGATGTGAAATGTCCAAGTTTTCGGATTATTTCGCGTTTCGATTACGTGGAAGAGAAGCGCTCTCTAAGCGCGGTCGTCGGGACGCCGTGCGTCGGGCTTATATTTAACCCGCCACGTAAGTCGCGGATTCGCGTCGCGTCGCCTCATACCGAATCGTGCATGAGAGATGCGTATATCCCCCGCATCCAACTCTCTCACACTCGTGCGTGTAGGCGCTTCGTAATCGTCGATTAGTAGTACGCGATACGTCGCCCTCGTCAATCGTCGCATCGCGTCGCGTCGCGTCGCGTTGCGTCGATGCGTAACGAGCGAGTGAGTTTTTGAAGATGGTCCAATTTGCCGCCGGCGTCGGTTCAATGCGCTTCCACCTCTCCGCGCGATCTCGGCATCGCCAAGACCACTACCCTCTCCCCCCCCCCCTCCTCTCCCCACCTCGTGGTGGCTGCATGGACCGCTGCCGAATGACTCTACCGCTTGACTCGCATGACGACCTTCCGCGGTCGATTTATCGCGCCGAACGTGACGAACGACGGAACAGGGTCATGTTCCTCCTCCGAGAGAGACCACGCTCCGTGAGATCCCTGCAAATGACACCGAGAGTAGGAGGAAATTTTTTATCGTGTGTACATATTTCATCTTTCTCTTATTTATCTGAAGCTTTAAGCTTAATTAATTCGTTAGGATTCTTAATTAAAGATAATTTTATACAACCAGGAATTGAGAGTAGATTTGAATAAGTATTTAAAATACAGGTTTGTATTGAATTATAAATATCAAAATTGTAACAACGAAATATTTTTTATGCTTTCTGTACTTTCTGATATCAAATTAATATAAGATAACGATTCGAATTTCTAAAACAAATAAATATACACTTTACATTGTAATAATTAAAGAATCGAGATGAAAATATAATAGATTAGCTCGTGGAAAGTCCCTTTCTCGTATTGGACACTGAGAATTTGAATGTTTTTTTTGCCCGCCGCGGTAGAATCGCGATTGAGACAGGAGTAAGGAACGATCCGATATTTGATTTACCTTAAACGCTCGGCGCGAAAAGTAGAAAGCCGCTGGCGGTACGACAAATTCCGCGCGGGCATTGGAGGATGACGAGGTCGGTGTCGCAGGCTTGCAAATTTTCTTCTTATCTTGAACCTCGTGTCGTGACGGAACGCAAGCGGTAATCGTGAGCGCGCGCGTCGGTTCCACCTGTCCTTAACAGTTAACAAGTGGCGCGTAATCGCGACGACGACAGACAGATCGGAGCGAGCGTGCGAGCGAGGCGCACGCGCTCGATTTCCAACGTTAACGGAATAAAAGGCATTAATGAAACGTGATAGTTAGCGGCCACTTCACATCGCGACATCGCTACCCTGCGTACAAGGTGTTCGAAATATTAGCGTTAACTTTCTACTATCATAATTTTAGACTGTTTTTTCTTTTCCTCTAAAGACGATGTTTATTTATTTATTTCAACGAGATAATATTATTCTTTTTTATTTTAATGTGTGAATGATTTTACTTTTGTTTGTTGATAAACATCTACAATGTGCTCAGAAGTAACGATTTGTTTAGTAGTAAAAAACTATACAAAGACTTTTTGTGCTAATTGCAAATTAATTTCTGTGTCACATTTTTATTTTATTTTTCCACTTAATAGACTTTTCTGTAACAAATATTTGGTTCATATGTAAAGTTTGTATATATAAAGTTTTTGATGAAACAAATAATGATTTATTGGCGTAATTGATATGAACACATATGAAGGTAGCTGATAAACATCATGGAAAACGCATCAGGAGCAATATAACATTTTATGTTTAAATATATGATCTGATTTATTATTTTTTTCTAAAAAATTTTATCGAATTTTAGAGTGATCGCTAGGGGAAAGCATGCTAGAAAATAATTAATCTTTTAAAAATCCTTGATTATTACGCGAGAGGTAAACCATTTAACCAACAATTTGTGCACTAATGAAATAATTGCGTAATATTAGAGTATGCAATAATGCATGACTAAATTGCTAACATCATTCCTGATGATTCTCGATAATTCATATAATATGTTTACGTTTGAAATTATTTTATCTAATCTTTAATTTAAATAATTTAGTAAATCTTAATTAAATCTTAAAAATAATAAATCTTTATTAAATCTTTATTAAAAATATTTTTGAATAAATGAAAAAAAATGTTCTTTACAAAATGCTCTTTATAAAAAGGCAAAAGGATTTTAAGTATCTGATATTATTTTAGCTTTATTTAAATGAAAATTATAGGACTATTATGCCATTTTATACATATAATATCATTTATTAATACAAATAACTTAAATTTATTTTATTTTATTTTATTTACCTTGATACAAGTTAATTTTTATTTATGAACAGTTACACGATCGACCTAAATTTACAATGCGGACGCGATACAAATGGTTTTACAATCGCTGTAACGGACGTTACCACTCTCGCATTCCACATCTCACTTCGATTTGCGTAGAGTAATATCACAACAAATGAAAATAAGTTTTACGATGCGAATTATATGTAGAATACCGATAGGAAAGTAATACGTATAGTTTGGGCAGAAATCAATTGATGCGAAGTTCGGGGGATAAACAAAATTGATATTCAACTCCAAAATTCCAGAAATGCTGAAATAGAATTTGAAAGACCGTTTTAAGATCGTTTTCCTCTGAATTTCTCAGTTGAATAACAATTGGGAATGTAACGTAGCGAGATTAATTCTCGGATTTTACCTATTAAACCGTATCACATCGATGATCTACTTTCTAGAAACACAGAGGTGTAAGCGCGAATTTAAGACTTTTAGGTGTTTACCGAGGCGAAGTACGTGACAGTCAAAGACTGTTGTCTTACGAAACGAAGTTTCGATTATCACGACGTATCGATTTTCACCAACGCCGTTTTAATCAGTTCGCGTAGCTGCTACCCGAACCA